TTTGAGAAGATAAAATTGATAAACCATTAGCCAGACTCATCAAGAAAAAGAGGGAGAAGATTTAAATGAATAAAATTAGAAATGAAAAAGGAGAAGCAACAACAGACACCACAGAAATACAAAGCATCCTAAGAGACTACTACAAGCAACTCTATGCCAATAAAATGGACAACCTGGAAGAAATGGACAAATTCTTAGAAAGGTATAACCTTCCAAGACTGAACCAGGAAAAAATAGAAACTATGAACAGACCAATCACAAGCACTGAAATTGAAACTGGGATTAAAAATCTTCCAACAAACAAAAGTCCAGGACCAGATGGGCTCACAGGTGAATTCTATCAAACATTTAGAGAAGAGCTAACACTCATCTTTCTCAAACTCTTCCAAAAAATTGCAGAGGAAGGAACACTCCCAACTCATTCTATGAGGCCACCATCACCCTGATAACAAAACCAGACAAAGATACTACAAAAAAAGAAAATTACAGACCAATATCACTGATGAATATAGATGCAAAAATCCTCAACAAAATACAAGCAAACAGAATCCAACAACACATTAAAAGGATCATACACCATGATCAAGTGGGATTTATCCCAGGGATGCAAGGATTCTTCAATATACACAAATCAATCAATGATACACCATATTAACAAATTGAAGAAGAAAAACCATATGATCATCTCGATAGATGCAGAAAAAGTTTTTGACAAAATTCAACACCCACTTATGGGTAAAAACTCTCCAGAAGGTGGGCATGGAGGGAACCTACCTCAACATCATAAAGGCCATATACAACAAACCCACAGCAAACATCATTCTCAATGGTGAAAAACTGAAACAATTTCCTCTAAGATCAGGAACAAGACAAGGATGTCCACTCTCACCACTGTTATTCAACATAGTTTTGGAAGTCCTAGCCACAGCAGTCAGAGAAGAAAAAGAAATAAAAGGAATACACATTGGAAAAAAAGAAGTAAAACTGTCACTGTTTGCAGATGACATACTATACATAGAGAATCCTAAAGATGCTACCAGAAAACTATTAGAGCTAATCAATGAATTTGGTAAAGTTGCAGGATACAAAATTAATGCACAGAAATCTCTTGCATTCCTATACACTAATGATGAAAAATCTGAAAGAGAAATTAAGGAAACACTCCCATTTACCATTGCAACAGAAAGAATAAAATATCTGGGAATAAACCTACCTAGGGAGACAAAAGAGCTGTATGCAGAAAACTATAAGACATTAATGAAAGAAATTAAAGATGATACCAACAGATGGAGAGATATACCATGTTCTTGGATTGGAAGAATCAATATTGTGAAAATGACTATACTACCCAAAGCAATTTACAGATTCAGTGCAATCCCTGTGAAATTACCAATGGCATTTTTTACATAACTAGAACAAAAAATCTTAAAATTTGTATGGAGCCACAACAGACCCCGAATAGTCAAAGCAGTCTTGAGGGAAAAAAACGGAGCTGGAGGAGTCAGACTCCCTGACTTCAGACTATACTACAAAGCTACAGTAATCAAGACAATATGGTACTGGCACAAAAACAGAAGCATAGATCAATGGAACAAGATAGAAAGCCCAGAGATAAACCCATGCACCTATGGTCAACTCATCTATGACAAAGGAGGCAAGGGTATACAGTGGAGAAAAGACAGTCTCTTCAATAAGTGGTGCTGGGAAAACTGGACAGCTACATGTAAAAGAATGAAATTAGAACACTCCCTAACACCATACACAAAAATAAACTCAAAATGGATTAAAAACCAAAATGTAAGGCCAGATGCTATTAAACTCTTAGAGGAAAACATAGGAAGAACACTCTTTGACATAAATCACAGCAAGATCTTTTTTGATCCACCTCCTAGAGTAATGGAAATAAAACCAAAAATAAACAAATGGGACCTAATGAAACTTCAAAGCTTTTGCACAGCAAAGGAAACCATAAACAAGATGAAAAGACAACCCTCAGAATGGGAGAAAATATTTGCAAATGAATCAATGCAGAAAGGATTAATCTCCCAAATATATAAACAGCTCATGCAGCTCAATATTAAAAAAACAAACAATCCAATCCAAAAATGGGCAGAAAACCTAAGTAAACATTTCTCCAAAGAAGACATACAGATGGCCAAGAGGCACATGAAAAGCTGCTCAACATCACTAATTATTAGAGAAATGCAGATCAAAGCTACAATGAGGTGTCACCTCACACGAGTTAGAATGGGCATCATCAGAAAATCTACAAACAACTAATGCTGAAGAGGGTGTGGAGAAAAGGGAACCCTCTTGCACTGTTGGTGGGAATGTAAATTGATACAGCCACTATGGAGAACAGTATGGAGGTTCCTTAAACAACTAAAAATAGAATTACCGTATGACCCAGCCATCCCACTACTGGGCATATACCCAGAGGAAACCATAATTCAAAAAGACACATGCGTGCTTCCCTGGTGGCACAGTGGTCGAGAGTCCACCTGCCGATGCAGGGGACATGGGTTCGTTCCCCAGTCCGGGAAGATCCCACATGCCGCGGAGTGGCTAGGCCCGTGAGCCATGGCCGCTGAGCCTGCGCATCCGGAGCCTGTGCTCTGCAATGGGAGAGGCCACAACAGTGAGAGGCCCACGTAACCTCACCCCCCCAAAAAAGATGACACATGCACCCCAATGTTCATTGCAGCACTATTTACAATAGCCAGGTCATAGAAGCAACCTAAATGCCCATTGACAGATGAATGGATAAAGAAGATGTGATACATATATACAATGGAATATTACTCAGCCATAAAAAGGAACGAAATTGGGTCATTTGTTGAGACATGGATGGATGCAGCGACTGTCATACAGAGTGAAGTAAGTCAGAGAAAAACAAATATAGTATCTTAACACATATATGTGGAACCTAGAAAAATGGTACAGATGAACCAGTTTGCAGGGCAGAAATTGAGACACAGATGTAGAGAACAAACGTATGGACACCAAGGGGGGAAAGCGGCACAGGGGTGGGGACGGTGATGGGATGAATTGGGCGATTGGGATTGACATGTATACACTGATGTGTATAAAATAGATGATTAATAAGAGCCTGCTGTATAAAAAAAATAAATAAAATTAAAAATTTTTTAAAAATAAAAAACAAATTTATAGAAATTTGTAAAATAACTACCTCAAACCAAACTATATCTCGAGATTAAACAATTGGGGATATTGAATTAATTTTTTTAAAAAATAGCACACTTACGAATGAGGCAGAAGAAAATAAAACCATGGGAAAGTCATTACAGCTGGCAGATAAATCGTTGGCAATCTTTGTTTTAGCTTTTTTTTATGTTGACCCTTTTTAAAGTCTTTATTGAATTTTTTACGATATTGGTTCTGTTCTATGTTTTTTGTTTTTTTGGCCTTGGGGCATGTGGGGTCTTAGCTCCCTGGCCAGGGATCAAACCCACACCCCCTGCACTGCCAGAGAAGTCCCGCTAGCAATCTTTAAAAGAATTGATTTCTCTCTTTAAAGTTTGTGGCAAGTCAGTAGAGAGCAAGGGAGTAGTTGGGAGCAAAGGACATAGATAAAAAGATGGAGATGTTGTTACCTCTGAAAAAGAGGATAAGAAGGTTTTCAGGGGAGTTTGAGTCAGATGGCTTTCCTTCTAGGATGGTCATTTTCTAAGCATGAATAAAGAAAATATTTTGACATTTGAGAGAAATGCTTCTCAAACCTCAGCATATTCCAGAACTATCTGGAGGGCTCGTTAAACAGACAAACTGCTGGGTCCCACCCCCAGAGCTTCTTATTGTGTAGGACTGGGGTGGATCCAGGAATTTCCATTTATAACAAGCTGCCAGGTGGTGCTGATGCTGCTAGTTAGAGAGCAACCTGAGACCCACTGGAGTAGTGCATTCTTTAGGGATGAACAAAGATTTGCACATGCTGTTCTCTATGCCTGGAATACCTGTCTCTCCCCACCTGTATCCCCTCTCTATAAAGGTACAACATGTGAGTAGTTCTTAACCTTGGTTGCCCAGTAAAATCACTGACTCTAGTATCAGTTCCTGGGTCTCACCCCATGGAATTAATTGGTCTGGGATGTGGCCTGAACACTGGGCTATTTTAAAGCTTTCTAGGTGATTTATTATGTAGCTAGGGATAAGACCAGATGATCTGTGAGGGTTCATGATGGGTAGAAAGCCAAGTGATGCCAGAAAAAGGGTAGTAAGCTTCGGGAAAAGGATCAAGAGCTAAAGGTTTGAAAGTTGAAGTGAAGACCTGGGGTAAGTTCTGAAGGACATGAAAGGTTTAGTGTCAGAAAGTTGTGCATCTTGAATCCTTTTAACTCTTAAGTTTCCTGTAGGAAACTGGATCACGGCTTCTTTCTTTCAAGGTTGCCGTGAGGGTTAAATGCGGTGTAACACTTAATAAAAATACTGGATTGAAAATGTTAAGCATTAAATAAGTGATACTTTATTACTCTCATTATAATAACATAGTCTTGAAGTCAGAGGATGCTAAAATTCCTTTTAAAATCCTAGTAGTGTGGTGGTTTTCCAGGTGGCATTTGAGGTGTGTGCCACTAGATGATGATGTGACTAGGTCACTTTGCTTCTTCTTACTTCACTCCAAACTTAAAACATTTGACACTTCAGACCATTATATTCTGAAAACAGATAATTAAAATCAAAATATCCTGATGTCACTAGAATCAGTGTCCCTAGATTCTAAATAAAAACTTTAATCAGATATGCTTTCTAGTTCATTAAGTTACACCAAATGCCAGGCATGGGGACAAAGCAAGGTTTTTCTGATTGTTCTGTAATGTGCTCTCATCTTAAGATGCCAACTTTCTCAGGGGTCACCTTAACGTGACAGTTCTTCCTGTCTGTTTCCAGCATATCTGCACTATGGATTTAGGATGCAGGCTGGGTGTGAGTGCTGAGTTTGTACTTTGTACTACAAGATTTGGGTCCTAACAAATCTAAAAGCTAATCTCATTCCTTTGCAAGACCAGCAAGTCAGGAAAGTTCTAAGCAAGGAGCTCAAGCTCTTATGTACTGTAATGTCCTACTTACCTGGAAAATATTTTGACTTCTCAATTCTTCAAAACATAATTTCCCAAACCTATTTTTAAGGAGAGGTACTCTTCCTAGGGTCCATGCAATAAAGACCTGTGCTTTATTACTCAATTAGAAAATTTACCAAATATACATGGTTCTATTATAGAACATACACATCTGATTGAACTTAGTTTTGCTTTTAACATAAATTATTAAATGCCACAAGGAGCCAAGGCACGAGAGAGCATATCAGAACAGATACCTTTCCAAGGAGAAGACAAAATTTAAGGAATTAAATATTGAAGGGGAAACACTCTGGGAGGGGGAAATTCATTTGGAGGGGGAAACAGAGTGAAGGGTAGGTGCAGTTGAAGGGGGAAGCACAGAGGGAGGGGGTAGGTGCAGTTGGAGGGGAAGCACAGAGGGAGGGGGTAGGTGCAGTTGGAGGGGAAGCACAGAGGGAGGGGGTAGGTGCAGTTGGAGGGGGAAACACAGGGAGGGGGTAGGTGCAGTTGGAGAGGAAGCACAGAGGGAGGGGTAGGTGCAGTTGGAGGGGGAAACACAGAGGGAGGGGAAAATTCACTTGGAGGGGAAAACACGCTTATTGGTTTGTCTTCTTCCAGGGATTCAAAGGTCTCTTGTTCCTTAGGCTTAAAGGATAAGGCTTCTTTCCCATCCTTGTTTTCACAAGCCTCGCCCTGGCGTGAAGAACTTCACTCCTTCCCTTCTTTCATTTCACAAGTCTCCTGCTCCTCAGGGGCAGAGGTCTCCTCCTCTCCCTTTGGGTCAGCAGCCTGCATCTGCTCAGGGAGGCACTTATTAAATGTTTGATCATAACAAGTTGGGGAGATAGGAGAAAACAAAGTTCTTTCAGTCAGCGTCTGGTGAGTCGAAACTGATGAATCACGTGGCAGCTCAAGAAGCTCTGTTAGTTTACTGCACGCGTCCCCATCACCCAGCAGTTCCATACCTAGGTCTCCACCTTGAAGAACCTCTCGGGATTTCTGTCGCAGTACTGTGTGCAACAATGAGGAGGAACATAGCCTTACACAGCTTTTGAACCAGGTTAGTGATTTTGAAGGGTGATTGGGAGGCAAGGTGCAACATCTGCTGCCTCCAGGCCCTGGGGATGAGGCATGAGAGGAAGGGCTGCTGATCTGAGTGATGTAATAAAGCCAGACCGTAGGCTGTGGATCTCATGAGATGGAGCTGGTCCTAGCCGGGTGGAAGGACTCCAGACACCATGGCTCTTTCAAGTTGCACAGACCTTAGTACCATCACCTCAGGACGTTGAAGGCTGTCTGCCTTCCCCAGGAATCCCTGTCCGTCCCCTCCCCTCTCCTCTCCGTTTAGAATGGCGTCCGTATCTGCCTCCCCTGTTAGGTGACAGCAATGGCAAGCCTGCCTGTGGGAGAGTGGGGAACACATTTGCTTTCCCTGGGTTTCCTCTGCTCCCACCCATGTCCTCAGAACCTACCACAGAAGTTTGCACCCAGTAGTTCAAAATTTACTTTAAAAAAAAGTGACCAAACTTTCCATTAGCCTTTTTGCCTTCCCCCTTCCTCAAACACAGAAATAGACCTCTCCCAGCCTCACCTCCAAGCCTAGTCCCCGGTATTGCTGGGCAAAGAGCAGGGTTGAGCCAAGACTCCTAGACCACAGCTCTGTCTCCTCAAACTTGTATCCAGCTGAACATGCCCTTCCAAGATCGGATTATCCCCTTTCTCAAGTCATGCCTAGGAAGGCCAATCAACTCTGAGACCAAGAAGGTTGATGCAAATGCCTTGGGGCTGTAGAGTTATCCTGGGGGCGATGGGTTTGTCTCCTTGCTTCCCTGCAAAAGACCAAACTATCAGTGAAAATGCTTCCCATTTCCCATCCAGCCCTTTGTATTCCACTCCTACAAAATAGGCAGGAGCTCAGGGATCCTAGGTTTTAATATTGTCCGTTATTGTGAGGCCCATCTTATTTCAGGGTTGGGGGAGAGCAAGAGGCCTTCAGATTTTAGAAGGATATGAGTTTTTCTGTAAGGTGGTGCTCTATTAGTGTTTTTACATTTTCTAGCTAGATAAAGAAATTTAATTTTTACCCAAATAGAACTATGGCTTTGGTTTTACAGTTTATATGGACTCCTGAAAGTTAATTAAAATTCAAAAGCTTTCTTCCTAGAACATCCATGGGGTGTATGTCTCCTACCTCCCAACCCCTCTCCTTGTAGTACTGGGGGGAGGGATGCGTTTTTCCCGCCTGTTGCCAAGCACAGCCGTGAAGATCACCTCTACTTGCAGCTGCTTGTTTGACTCTCTGCCCCTCTTTCTTCCCAGCTCCATGTCTAGACTGTACTTCATTATATGCAGGGTGAAGCAGATCTCTAGGTGTGAGGGTCCAAGAGCAGATCTGTACCCTCTCACTAGGTGATTTGCCTCACACTGAATTCAATTAAGAGCACAGGGTTCCAAAAACAGAAGAAAGAAAAAGAGCACAGGATTCTAGAGTAAAATGGCATGGGTTTGAATCCAGCCTTCACTCCTCTGCTGAACGTGAGAAAGTTACTTAACCTCTCTGCTCCAGGTTCCTCTGTCTGTAGTATGGGAATAATTATGGTACCTACGTCTGTAGGGACTCAGAAGAGTGCTTAGCATAGAGGAAGTGCTCAGTTTATATTCAGTATCATGGTGCTGTTATATGTTGAATAAATGAGCCAGTAAAGAAAGGAGCAGGTTGCCATCAAGTCTGGGCTTTTGAAGGTATCTTAGAAAAAGTAATATTTTACTGACTTTCTTCTTCAGCCCCATAACAGATGGTCTGGTTCATGGACAGCTGAGAGTACATGTCCAGATTCCCATCAAGTATAGGAATCCCCCTCACCATATCCCAAATCAGTAGAGTTTTGAGTCTCTGAGTCCTTGCTTTGTGGGGGGCTCATGTCCTAACAAGTTGAGCCATTCCATTCTGTAACTGCCTTAGTTATTAGATTTTTTCTTCTTAAAAAGACCCAGAACCAATCTCCTTGTAACCTCTATCAATCTCACTCTGTTCCATGGAAATTCAGAATATTGAACTCTGTACGCCCTTAGGAAGGTTTTAGGTTCATTCATTTATTCATTCCACAAAAGCTTATTAAGCAGTTGTGTGCCAGGCACCTTCACATTGAGAAGCTGTCCTTATCCTCATGAATCCTGTGATTGGGTGGGAAAGACAGCTAACAGTCACACAAATACGTATCATGACGATTTGTAAGGAATACTTAGAGCGCTACAGAAAGGAAAACGGGAAATTAATTTGAACATGGGTAGTCAAAGAAGGCTTGTATAATGGAAGTGACCAACTGGTTTGGTGGAGGGGAGGGGGCGGGACTCCATGCAGAAAGAACTGTGGAATGTGGGGTGGAGTGGAAGACATAGATGGGATTAGAGGGGTAGGCTAGGAAGGACATTTGTGTGTATAGTTAGGGAGTCTTAATTTTATTCCAGGTACAAAGAAAGACCACTGAAAGGTTTTAAGCAGGGGAGGGCCATTATCCATTTTATATTTTATAAGATAACTGGCTGTTGTGTGGAAGAGAGATTAGAAGAGGGTGAGTGGGGATTCCAGGTAAAAGACAGCTGATGATGATTGATTGAATTAGGATGGTCACCAGAGAGATGAAAAGGAAACAAACTTGAGAAGTATATTGGAGGTAGAGTCCAGAGGATTTGGTGGTAGATTATTCAGAATAAGCGTCAGTTAGGTTAGCATTCTAGTACCTTTCCAGCTGGGCAGTAACCAGCCAACAATCGGGTATTTTCAATATAATACCTAGTGGGTTTCTAATTAGGCAGCTGGAGGTGCCATCTCTTAAGAAGAGGAAACCTAGAGGGAAAATGAATGGAAGGGGTTTGGTTGTTGGATCAAGAATTTGGATTCGGTTGTGTTAATTAGGCTTTGAGATATTAAAATGCAGATGTTGAGTTGGCAATTGGATATAACAGACTAAGCTGGGAATTGTTAGCACGTTGTTGGAATTTAAAGCTGTGGGAATGTGTATGCTGTGACCTAGACCCTGAGTGTGCAAGTGGGAAGTGGGCCAGGACTGAGCCACGAGGGGTGAGTGGAATAGCAGAGATGGAAGCTGCAGGAGAAAAGCCGGAGAGTGGGTCATGGGAGTCTGGGTCTGGCAACAGGGATGGAAACTGGAATGGAGTGGGGTTTTGAAAATGATGTAGGCTGAGAGTAGGTAGGATTACGTAGGTCACATGCAAAGACAACTCCTCCACTACATTTGCTGGGGAGGAGAGGAAAAAAAAAAAAACAGAAACTGGTGGTAAGTGCAGAGGAGAGTCTATCATTTTCTTTTTTGTTGTTTATCCTAAATATTCCCCCAATTTGTTCATTCTTTATATTATAGTATTTCCAGAAGATCCTAAAACTTATAGATAGAAATGTTTTCCCCCAGAAGAGGATGCTTCACCCAAAATGTGTTCTGATCCAGCCAGGGCTGGGGCCAGGGCCAGCCTGTGGCTTTCCTTGTCTAAATACTCTATTAATAGATGCAACTAAGCTTAACTATTTAGGTAGTCATGCCCTCTGTCGGCTTATTCTGAAACTGCAGTCAAATCAAGGTCTTGCATTGTTGTCAAGCTAAGTCCCTTCACTCTGTACTTGAGTGCTCTTATCTGGAAGAACTGTTCATCAGAAGCAGGGGAAGACCAGGAGTTCTTGAGAAAGAATCTCTGATGACTAGTTGAGGTGGAAGACAACTCCAGGATAAGCAGACAAGGCAGGCTATTTATGATTCCTCTTTAACAGATGAAGAAACTGAAACTCAAGCCACAGTATCATTTAAGTGGCAAAAACTGAACTTCAGATCTTCATTCTGTCAGAGCTATACCATATTTCTTCTTAATTCTTTGGAATGTTTTTGCAGAATAGAAATATAAGTGAATGTTTAAATGTTGGTTGTTCTATACTTTTGTTTGGGACCCTCTAAAAGGCAAATCATAGGAAGTAAGAGATATTCTTTCTTTCATTCACCAAATATTAATTGAACACCTACTATATGCTAGACATGTTCTACATAAGGGGCATACAGTAGTGAATAAAACAGACAAACTTCATGCCCTCACATTCTAATATGAAGTGGTAAGACAATAAATAAGGCAAGATATATAATTAATTAGATAGTAATGGTAGTAAGAAGGAAATATAAAGCGGGGAAGGAAGATGTTGTTAAACAAAATGCAACTGAGTGAGTCTGAAGATCTGTTTGGCTTTATCCAATGATTCATGAATTGGGCAGCATCCCATTTAACAAGTAGAATGGAACTCCAAGGATCTATACAATATAGAAGGCTTTTATAGGGAGACGGAGGGTGGGACAAGGAAGTTAAAAAGTGGATTATTTCAGGCAAGGTCACCTTCCCTTCCTGGGAAGGCAGGGGGTCTTATCAAGCAGATCCCCTCACTGGTGTTGATGAGGAAATTCCAGACTGATAGTTTTAAAATTCCACTCCAACAAGGGGCTGAAACTGTAGTTAGGTTAGGTGTTAATTCCTAGTAGGGCTTAGCATACATGACTATTTTGGGCCTGTTTCTTTTCTTTTTTTTCTTAATTAATTTTTTAATTAAAGTATAGTTGATTTACAATGTTACATTAGTTTCAGATGTACAACATAGTACTTCAATATTTTATGGATTATACTCCATTTAAAGTTATTATATAATATTAGCTATATTCCCTGTGCTGTACATTACATCCTTGTATCTTATTTATTTTGTACCCAGTAGAATGTGCTTCTTAATCCCCTTCCCCTATCTTGCCCCTTCCCACTTCCCTCTCCCCACTGATAACCACTCGTTTGTTCTCTGTATCTATGAGTCTGTTTCTGTTTTGTTATATCCATTCATTTACTTTATTTTTTAGATTCCACATGTAAGTGAAAACATACAGTATTTGTTTTTTCTCTGTCTGCTTACTCCACTCAGCATAATTCCCTCCAGTTCCATCCATGTTGTTGCAAATGGCAAATTTCTTTTTATGGCTGAGTAATATTCCACTGTATATAGCCACCACACCTTCTTTATCCGTTCATCTGTTGATGGACACTTGTGTTGTTCTATACTGTTTTCCATTACGGCTGCACCAATTTACATTCCAACCAGCAGTGTACTAGGGTTCCCTTTTCTCCACATCCTTACCAATTTATTATTTGTGGTCTTTTTAACAATAGCCAGCCTGACAGGTGTGAGGTGATATCTCATTCAGTAGGTTGTTTTTTTTTATTTTGTTGATGGTTTCCTTCACTGTGCAAAAACTTTTTAATTACTTCCCATTTGTTTATTTTTGCTTTTTGTTTC